TCATCCCTGGCAGGACAATGGAGCAGGGCTGCCTCATTTCTTCTTTTCCTTGTCTGTCCCCAGAGAGTTCACCTGGACATCCAGGTAGGAGAACACGCCAACGACTATGCAGAAATTGCGGCCAAAGACAAGCTGAGTGAGTTGCAGCTCCGAGTGAGACAGCTGGTGGAGCAGGTAGAGCAGATCCAGAAAGAGCAGAACTACCAACGGGTATGTCGGGCAGGACCTTCTGAGTGGGCTTCATCCCAGGTGCATTCCCTTGGCTCATCCAGAAGTTGCATGCAGGTCAAACTTGGGTTTCATTCTGAAACCCAAGGGATTCACATGTCTGTGCTGCTCTGCCAAGTCTAAAAGGCAGGGTGGGTACCACTAACTCCTGTTTGTAACCAAGGAGACACAATGACACATGCACAGTGACAAAAGGAGGGATCGATGCTAATACCTTGGGTGTTAATTCCATGGCTGCAGGTGCTTCCAGGAGCAGCTATTTCAAACTCCGTTGTGTCAGGGAGCCAGGATGGGACCATGAATGGCTCTGTGACCATAAGGACTGTTCTGTATTTAAGCCTCAGGGACCTCAGTTAATTGTCAGCTGAGGGCAGCCTTGCAGATATTCTAGACCTGGGTTTCAAGAGAAGCTATGTGGATTTTTCCCGGGTTTTAAATATTTGCAAAACACACGTGCATGCCAGATGTCCTCACTGGGCCACCAGTTTGCAGCTTGTGCCCACAGTCCTCAAGGAGCAGCTGGGGAGACCTGGGCAGAGAGGTGAGAGCATGTCCACTCCTGAGTGCTAGAGGATGGCTCTCTCTGATGGGGTGATAATGCAGCTACTTTACCTCTGCCCAAGGCTCCATGAGGGGACCAAGGGAGGAGGAACGCAGCCCTCAGGTGGGTGGGGGGTGTCTCTTCAGGTCTTTGCAGGTACTTGACGGGAAGCTGAGTGGAGCTGCCTGGCCCTGGGTTCCCCTCCCAGTTACAGTGGTGCCAGGTGGGGCCCAGCAACCTTAAGCCCCTCTTCCCTTCTCTCCTCCCACAGTGGCGAGAGGAGCGCTTCCGGCAAACGAGTGAGAGCACCAACCAGCGGGTGCTGTGGTGGTCCATTCTGCAGACCCTCATCCTCGTAGCCATCGGTGTCTGGCAGATGCGGCACCTCAAAAGCTTCTTTGAAGCGAAGAAGCTGGTGTAGCCATCCCTGGCCTCACAGGCCATCCTTCCTCCCAGGCTGGGGGAGAAAGGGCCTCCTGGAACTGATTTTTCTCTGGCAGGAGGACTGGTTCCGAGCCGTGGCTATCTGGAGGGGAGAGGGGCTACAGGCACCCCCCCGGCATAAGCTTAGGGCAGTGGTTTGGCTGGCTGATACTGAGCAGATGGTAGGGCAGTGCCTGCCCCCTCCCCTGGGCTCTGAGCCCTTTGCAGTAATCAGCCAGGGGCTGGTGAAGCCACTAGGAGCCCCACTGGCACCTCAGAATCACAGTGTTACTGATCAGGGATGTGAGGCTGTTGTCTGGGATGGCTGGGGGGAGGGGAGCGGGTGGGCAAGCCAGTCTTTTTTCTGTCTTCCTTTGCTAACGTGGGATTTTTGAGCAGGTGGGGGTGTGGCTGTGATTCCCTGCCACCCCGGGAACCTCACTGTACCCTCCTTGGGCCCAGACTGCTGATCCAGGATGTTTGTGTCAATGGAGGGTGGGGGTGGAGGGAGTTGCAGTATGGGGAGAGTAGCCTGGAGCTTGACCTCATCTTCTCAAATTGGTTGTCCTTTTTGGGAGCTTGAGGAACTGGGGTCAGGCCAAGCAGAGGCCTTGGTGCTGGTTGGGGATGGGGCCTGCAGAGTCTTAGTTACTGATTTCATTTTCAATAAGTCTAGGTTTGTTACATTGGTTTCCCAATAAAAAAAAAAAATTGACTTCTTGTCCAGTGTAGTTACTGTAGTGGCCATAACACGGAGGTGCTTGGGAAATGTCATTTGTTCCACTGTGCAAAGCACTTCATGTTCCAAGATGAAAATCCACCCGGGAACTTTAGTCCTTCTGTCCTCTCTCCCAACTTCCTGCAGTAGGCGATAGATGGTGGGTTTGCCCAAGACCATAAAACAAGACACTTGGGGGCTTGGTGCTCAGATTTACACCATTTTCCTCTGTGCCCCCTCCCTTGTAACAAAGTGCCCTCCCTGCTTTTCCAGAGCAGGTGGAAGTCACTGTCATGGTGCTGCGAGGAAGGACCTCGTTCAGGAAGGGAATGTACACTGAACAGAAGTTCTGTAGGTTTGGGAAGGACAGAAATCCCTGGGCTGGTGGGGATGAGGATGTCGATGGTTTTAACCAAAAGCTTGAGATTTCAGTAAGGACCTTGAAGGAGAGGAAGGATTCTGATACAAAGTAAAGCTGGGGGTGTTGGACAAACTAGCGAATGGAGGTGAATAGGCATGGTTCCCACTGGAGTCAAGGTAATTTGAGGAAGATGTTTAAGGTTGGTTAGAGTTAGAAGACATTTGTATGTTACCCAGGGTTCAACACCGTTTTGAGTAGAAGAACCCCGTGGAGGGGCACCCCAGTGGGTCAAGCCTCTGCGTTCGGCTCAGGTCATGATCTCAGGGTCCTGGGATTGAGCCCTGCATTGGGCTCTCTGCTCAGCAGGGAGCCTGCTTCCCGCCCTCTCTCTGCCTGCCTCTCTGCCTACTTGTGATCTCTCTCTCTGTCAAATAAATAAATAAAATCTTAAAAAAAAAGAAAAAGAAGAAGAACCCCGTGGAGATCAAGCTTTTGAGAGAGAGTACAAGCAGGCAAAGTGGCAGGGAGAGGGACAAGCAGATTCTGCTGAGCAGGGAGCCAGATGTGGGCTCAATCACACAAGACCTGAGCTGAAGGCAGACACTTAACCAGTAGAGCCACCCAAGGCATTCCCCATGGAGATAAATTTGAGGAAGGTTAATCCAGAAGCATGTGAGAAAAAGACAGTGGGGAGACCAGTTTGCAGACTACTTGAACTGCCAGGAGGATGTGATGTGACCTCAGATTGCCACCTAGACATTAAAAACAAAACCCTTTTTTAGAACAGCTTTGGAATTACAGAAAGATTGTGATAATAGTTCCCCCATTATTGTCATGCATCAGTATGGTATATTTCTTAATGAAACAATATCAATACATTATTTCTCACTGAAGTCCATACCATATGTAGATTTTCTTAGCCATTGCCCAATGCCCCCCTTTTTTTTGGTTCCAGGATCCCATCCAGGACACCACATTACATTTAGCCCCTTCTTGGCTGTGACCGTTTCTCAGACTTTCCTTGCTTTTTATTACCTTGACAGTTTTTAGGAATACAGTTCAGGGTTTTTTTATAGAATTTTCCTCAATTGGGATTTGTCTGCTGGTTTTATCATGATTAGACTGGAGTTCTGAGGTTTTGAAAGACCAAAAAATGTGCCATTCTCATCCATCTTATCTATAGTGCTGATTATCAACACGACTGTGGGTGTCACTGAAATTAATTAATTGGGATTTTTATGTGAAAACGATTTCTTGAGACAGATCTGACGCTAGTGGGGCTTCATTCCAGTGTGACAGTTAGCTGGACTGAATCACAGCTGTCCCTTTGAGGTGGGCTTGTGCTTTCAGATCACAGTCCCACCTCCCTGTTTCCGTCACTGGCCTTACCTGGACTGGTCTCTGCAGGGGATCAGCCTTGCCTGTGTCATCAGCAAACACAGGCTGCATTTGCCAACGTTCTGTTCTAGAGTGCAGTGCAAGGCAGAGTTTAGCAGTAAGGTCACTGGTGGGTATATGCTGGGCTTAAGGGAGAAACGGGAAGGTGGTGGTGGTGGTGATTAAATTCTTCACCTACAGTAAAGTCCTTTGGAAGCAGCAACTGTGCAACCAAAGTACCTTGGTTTACACCCTGAATTGCCTCTCTGTGCACCAGTTTTTCAAGTGGGCATACGTATACTTTTTTAAGATTTTACTTATTTATTTGACAGAGATGATAAGTAGGCAGAGAGGCAGGCAGAGAGAGAGGGGGAAGCAGGCTCCCTGCTGAGCAGAGACCCCCGATGTGGGGCTCGATCCCAGGACCCCGAGACCACGACCCGAGCCGAAGGCAGAGGCTTTAACCCACTGAGCCACCCAGGCGCCCCCGCATACATATACTTCTTGAAAGGACTGAATGAGAGAACAGGAGCAAAGAACTTAGAACCGTGCCTGGCACTTACTAAGCACTCAGTAGATATTAGCTGTTTATTAGGGAACTTCACATTTGTGTGGAGATCAAGCCCCACAGGTCTGCTGTCTTTTCCCAGATCGGAGGCTGGCCCAGCCAGGTTAAGTTCCCACTGTGCCAGGGCAGATAGAAGAACTCCATCTTACTCCCCCTTCAGTGCTCACCTCAACTCCACCTAAATGCCCCTTCCTGCATAATGGCCGTCACTAACATCGCGTTGACTATGTGCCCAGCACCTACCAAGTATGTTTGCCCGTTCTCTTTTAACCCAAGCAGCCATGCCAGTCAGGGGCTACTCATACACGCAAGTAGGAAACAGATGCAAAGAGATGGTGCCCTGCCCCCTAGTGCTTCGCTCCTCGCTAGCGCTTGGGGTTTCTGCTGAGCCCGAGGCAGAGCCGCGAGCCTGGCCTTGCCCCCGTCCCCCACCCCCCGGCTTGTTTGCGGAGGAACCCTGCACCCACCACCTGGGGCCGGGAAGAGGACGGCGGTGCGGATTATCATCCCAGAGCGCCGGTTTGGAGGTCTGGAGGCTAACTCAATCCAGCACCGGCCCAGTGACCTGAACCCCCTCCGGGTTCTCGGCTTCTCGGGAGAACAAGCGGCTCCCCCGCAAGGCAGTTGAACCGCCGTAGCGGAAGCGCTCTACCGGTCCTCGCACGCGGAACCTTTCACGCGGCGGCTCGGTGGAGCCGACGGCGCGGCAGGAGCGGCGGACCCGGTGGACCGGGGGGCGGGGCGGACGCGCCGGGGCGGGGCGGGAGGCGGAGGCGCCGCGTAGGCCCGGGAGGCCGGGCCGGCCCGGCTGGGAACTCGAGTCTCATGCGCCGCCACCTCCCCCCACGATGTTCCCCTCCCGGAGGAAAGCGGCGCAGCTGCCCTGGGAGGATGGCAGGTGAGCGGCGGCGGCCGGCCCGGGCCCGGTCCTCCCGGGTGCCGATCCTTTCCGGGCCGCCCCGCGGAATTTAGGAGCCCGAGGCCGTCGCGTCCCCGTCTGCGGGGCTTCCCGAGGGTCTGTGGTTCTCCTTGTGAGTCGCTGTCTCTCTCTGGGTACGGGTCGCCCTCTCTCCGTGTGGGTCTCTGTGTCTCGCAGTCTCCGTCGGCCCGCAGGTCTCTGTCCCCCCGCGGGTCTGTATTTCTCCCATGACTTCCCCTTGTGAGTTTCTGTCCCTCTCTTGGCGGGTCTCTGTCCCTCGGTGTGGGTCTCTGTGTCTGTTTCTCCACTGGCGTCTGTCTGCGTGCGGGGCTCTGACTCCACGGACCTCTCCCCTCGGATCGCTGTCTTTCTATCTGCCCCTGGCCCCTGAGGGTCTTTCTCCCTCTTCTCTGGTCTCCCGCTTCCCGCCTCACATCCCTGTAGCCTCAGACCCTACCCTCCCTCACGCTTCCCCAGCCTTTGCTGACCGCCCAGAAGCTGTTCCGACCAGACAGAAGCTCTGTGTGCGGTGCCTGGCAGGGCCCTGCCTGGCACGTACTAGGCACTCGGCACACGTAATGCTGGTTCATTCCCGGTGCAGCTGTACGGGGTCCAGACCTTAGCTAGTGATGTTTTCCACTAAAGCAAAATTGGGGTAGGGGAGCCATCTAGACCCGTCTAGATTTGGGAGGACACCCACACTTTGTTCTGAAGATGTGTCCGCAAAACTCTTCCCACCCAGAACCAGAACGGGGAATGACACCCCATTCCCTGTGTGTCTTTTGAGTTTGCCAGGTGCCAAATATTCTGGAATACAGTGGACACAACTTCTTCCTGGGGGGTATTCTGATGTGGTGTTGAAGTCGGAAGACAGGGATATAAGAGAAGGAAAGCCTGGACAGTGGAGTCCGCCCTGAGCCATGTGACCTGAAACAGATCCCTTCATCTTTCCAACTCAACTTTGCCATCTCCGCAGCAGGGATCATAATATCTACTCTGCAGGGCTGTCTGAGACGGCATCTGTAAAGCTCTTGACACTGCACCTGGTACAGAGGAGGTGTCTGACGGTTCCCTTTGTGGTTGGGCGGTCCTGTAACCAGAGAAGCTGATATTCAAACCTGTATCACTAAGGTTTGTGTAAGGAAAGAGAGGAAAGGTAATGGAAGAGAAGTTCCATTTCCTGATCCCTTTCCATAAACCTTTGGAACATACCTGTGTTCCCAGAAAAAGTTACCAATGTCAATGCCTGCTTTGGACCCAGGGGTACAAAGGTCCATGCAACAGATGCAGGCTAGTATAACAGTTGAGAGTGCTGGCTCTGGAGCCAGCCTACCTGGGTTTGAATCTGCCTTTTCTAGCCTTGGGCACAGACTGATAGAGACAGAGCAGGGTGTGCCCCTCAGAGCAGGGTGCCCCAGGGCGGGGAGCCGCTGGGCTTGCAGACCTGGAGATCACCACCAGGTGGCGCCAGGAGCCCTCAGTGTCCACTTGTCCTGATGATTGGAGATTTGGCTCTGAATTCAGTTGATTTGGGGTCTTACAGCCCAAAGGATAAGCTTGCCTAAGAGAACGTGGTCCTGAAAGGGAAGCTGGACTGAAGGAACTGCCTGTGAAATTGCACAGAGTGCCCAATCCATGCCACACCCCTGGATAACGGTCACTGCTTCTTTTCCCAAAGGTGGGATGTTTCCTCATGTTCACATCCCCGGTCTCCATCCCACCCCCAGAAAGAGCCCCAAGGGCGAGAGAGAATCAATAGAGGTTCCAGCCTTCCCAAGCCATTGGCAGGATTGGGCTCCGCTGCTCCGCAGCGGAGGAGAGTCCTACCACAGGACAATGGGGGGTAAGTCAGAAGCCCAGGCAGAGTGTCCTACCTGGCCACCTCTCTGCCATGTGTGGGACCTGGCTAGGGCTGCTGGCTTCCAGGTTGGCAGTTGTGCTTTATGGACAGTTTGGCTCTGGTGTGTGACTTAAAGCATGCTGCGACTGCTTGAACCTTTCCTGTGACTCACCTAGCAAGCTCTCTGCTGCCTAAACTGGGGCTGCTGGCAGGAACTGATGACCTGCGGGGAAGACGGCGAACGGGAGACCAATGATTCCAGACCTTTCAGTGCTTCGAGGAGGGAAGGCCCAGAGGCCATGGAGGGAGCTAGTAGATCAACTTGAGCGCACACTGAGGGGTGGGCCCTGCAGGCCCTGGCATTAGAGTTGAAGGGGAGGGACCGTGCTGGCTGTGACAGTGGAGGTTGGCCCTGGAGGATGAGCAGGGGGCTTCCAGGCAAATAAAGTAAGGAAGGGCCCGGCAGGCTGTGTGGGCACTGGAGCAGGAAGGAATGTGGTGAGTGGCGAAGCTCTGGGTTACCCAGCATGTGCCCTGCGGGGGTGGTAGGGAGCAACTCGGGTCCAGTCTGTGCCGCCTGCCAGCTAACTGGTGACTCTTTAAGGCTATAAAACTGGGTGTTTTGCAGGTGGTTGCAGGGGCAGTAGATCGAGGAAACTTTACTTTTCTTAGATTGCCCAGCTCCTTCCCAGGCTCAGCAAGAAGGATCCCAGCACTCCTCAGTGTCCAGGCCGTTCAGTGGCGCTGGCAGCTTCTAAACCCAGCTTGGGTTCCATCTTCCTCCCCTGCCGGCATCTTCCTCTCCCTCTTCCATCTCCCATTTCTTGTGACATAGGCTGCCCCTTGGACTGAAGCTTTGAGACCTGTTCAGTGAACTGCCATTGTCTGTTTGGGCCTTGTACTGTTCTGGGGGCAGATCCAGTCTTCCCAGAATCAACTTAGGGCTCTTCCCTGCAACCGATGCTGGCACCGGCCCCTGCCTTGGGGGCCTTTCTGGTGTGAGAAGCAGAATGAAGTCAAGGTTTCAGCTGGGGGTGAACCGACAGGGGAGCGGGGTTTGGAAGGCAATGGGTGAGATCTCTAAGGCCGTGCTCCTGCCTGGACCTCGGGCTGTATGTCCTGCGGAGGGGAGGGTACAAGGGACAAGGAGTCTCATCCCCGTCCAGCAGCAGCTCTTGATCTGACCTGGACTCACTCACAGAAAGTAAGGGGGTATGAAGGAGCTGGGGAAGCTCTGCCCCGGGGTCGGAGGGCTTTCTGGAGGCAGGGTGACAGAGGCTGGGCCCAGAGCAGCGAGCAGGATTCTGACGCGAGGTAGCAGCATAAACCAAAGCATTCGGGGGGGCTTCTGCACTAATTCCCAGGCGCTTGGGGCAGACCGGTCCTGTGTGCCCGACTTGTGGGGAAGCCAGAGGAGGGGCCTGTCAGAGGGTCCAACCCCTGGCGCCACCGGCACTCCTAACCTTGTCTCTGCTCTTGTCCCAGGTCCAGGTTGCTCCCCGGCGGCCTCCCTCGGAAGTGCTCCGTCTTCCACCTCTTCGTCGCCTGTCTCTTACTGGGCTTCCTCTCCCTGCTCTGGCTGCAGCTCAGCTGCTCCGGGGACGTGGCCCGGGCGGCCAGGGGACAAGGGCAGGAGACCCCGGGCCCACCCCGCTCCTGCCCCCCCGAGCCACCACCTGAACACTGGGAAGAAGACGCCTCCTGGGGCCCCCACCGCCTGGCCGTGCTGGTGCCCTTCCGTGAGCGCTTTGAGGAGCTCCTGGTCTTTGTGCCCCACATGCATCGCTTCCTGAGCCGGAAAAAGATCCAGCACCATATCTATGTGCTCAACCAGGTGGACCACTTCAGGTAGGAACGGTCTCCTGAAGCAGCAGCCCCTCTCCAGGCCCTCACCCTGCCTCGGCCCCTTGGGCACCTCCCTTCCCCACGGGAGTCCCATGCCAGGGGGGCCTCTGGCCTGTGAAAGCACCCTCCCCTCCCCCAACACCGGGGCAGTGGCAGGAAGTGGGGGAGCAGTGGTCCCTTCTCGGTGGTGTGCTGGGAATTTGAGAGGCAGATTCGGGGTTAAAGAGTGTCCTGATCTGATAGCCGTTTTCTGTTTGTTTAAGATTTATTTATTTGAGAGGGAGAAAGAACAAGCAGGTGGGAGGGGCAGAGGGAAAGAATCTCAAGCAGACTCCATGCTGGGCACCAAGCCGGTCGCGGTGCTCGATCTCACCACTCTGAGATCACGCCCTGAGCCAAAACCAAGAGTCAGACACTTAGCTGCCTGAGTCCCCCCAGGCGCCCCAATATCCATTTTGAAAAGATGGCCACGGCTGCTGTATGAGGAATAGCTTTTACCTGGACAGGAGAAGGGTGCTGGGTGCTGGGAGGTGAGGGTGTCTGGGCTCTGGGGAAGCAGATGGGGAGATGGGATGGGGAGGAAGCCCACGCAGAGCTTTCTAGTAAACTAGCGATGGGTATTCAGGGAAGGGAGGGTCAACACCACAGCTTCGAAGCTGCTCACCATCAGGTGTTACCCTGAGATCCTCGCCCTTTACCACGCACTGCTCGCCTCCGTGAGCCAGTCCACACGTCTCCTCTACCTCCTCTCCCTGCGCTTCCATCCGCTGGGAGCCGGGTCCAAAGGCTCAGGGGCCCCACCAGGCCCTTTAGGCCCAGTTCCCCCCAGTTTTCACAGCCCACACTTTTGTCCTGTCTCCTCCTAACCCTAGCTTGGAATCCAGGGTCCATCGTTAGCAGCAGTCCCTCGCCTACTTCTTGGCTCCCTGACCCACCACCACTGACGATGCCTCTCCCGCACCTGGGCAGCTGGATGTGGCTGGAGAGGGCGCTCCGCTCATCTTCCTGGCAATGGAAGGCCTGCCTGGGAGCCTTGTGCTCCTCTGGCCTGCTGCCGCGCCGCTGTCTGACGCAGCTTTGCACCCTTTCTCTGCTCCTCCCTGCTCCTCAGCTTCAGCCGATGACTTGGCTTCCCGTTTGAGAACACAGAGCTGTTTGAGAAGACGCTGGAAGAGGGTGTGCCCAAGTGCCCACCAGCTTCTTTGTGGGCGTGCTGGGGATGCCCCGTCACAGCCCCTCCAGGGCCAGCTCTGCCACTCGGGCCCCAGGCGGACGTAGCTCCAGCCATCAGCTCCTCTCTCTCCTGCACGAATTCCTCCCTCTGGGAGCATTTGCATCAGCACACACTGAAATAGCTCCCATCTAAAAAAAGAAGACAAGACCCTGTGACCTCCCATCACTCACATTTCTCTGCTCCCCTCTCTCCCATCTCGCTCTTTGGAACCTGCTCTCCTCCCAACATTTACCCCCACATCTGTGACAGGGAGGCAGCTCTCACTGATACCAGCCGTGAGCCCGCGGCGGTGACCCGAAGCCCTGTTCTTAGCCCGCATTGGCCAACTGGGTTACTACTTCCTTCTTAAAACACCTCCGTTTGGCTTTTGAAGCCCTCTGCTTCTCCTCCTTCCTTACTGCCCACCCCCACCCGGCTGTGTCCTTCACTGGTTCTGCCTCACCCTCCTGACCTCGAGACCTTGGTGCTCTTGGGCTCAGTGCCTCCGTGTCCTTTTTCCTGCCTACAGCCACTCCCTGGGGATGTCATCCGGTCTCAGCATTAAACCCTGTCGAGACCCTGCTGACCCCCTGAGTCTGTTCCAGCCCAGGAGCTCTCCTGACCTCCAGACCTGCACGCGCAGCCGCCCGCATCACCCTCCTTCTCGGTGTCTCGGGCATCCCAAGCTTCGTGTGATCAAAACCGCATTTCTGATTCCCCACCCGACCCCTCCCCAGCTCAGGAGCCGGCTGCTTCTCGCTTCCGGTGGCTCGGGCCAGAAAGCCTCAGAGTGCTTAGCTCTTCTCTTTCCCTCACGCGGTGCATTCTGTCCCTCAGAATACATCTAGAATCTGCCCACTTCTCACCTCCCCCCTGAGCTAAATCACTGCTGTGTCCTGCCGGAATGAGTGTAGGAGCCTCCCAGCCCGACTTCCGCTCCCCCCCGACCCTCCCGTCTCTTCCCCACACCCCAGCCACAGCCATCCTGTTACACCCGAGTCACAGCACGGCCTGCCTCTGCTCCTGCCTCAGGCCTTGGCAGTGGCTTTCCTCTCTGCTTCCTTCCAGCTCATTCCCTCAGCCCTTCGCCTGCCACCCCATTACCATGGCTCTCCCTGCCCCCCTCACGTCTGGAAGAACACTGACTTGCCCCCCAGTGGCCTCCCCACTCCTCGCCCTGTTCTGTCTTCCTCCATTGCGCCTGCCAGGGTCTGGCTAGATACATAATTACTTACCTTTCTCTCCTCTTATCAGCATGTCCTTTCCCTGATGGCAGTGCTTTGACTTCTCCACATGGGTACTGCAGGGATCCTGCTGCTTTCTGGCGCAGGGTGGGGGCTCGCTAGGCATGTGTGAGCTGAGCTGGGGGCAGGCGTGCAGCCAGGCAGCCCCCCCCCCACCCTGGGAAGACAGTGTCGGCAGGAGGGTGGCCCAGGCTGGGTGCTGTGGAGGACAGGCTCCCACTCATGGTGGAGAGCAAGCCCACCTGCCCACCCCCCAGCTCAGCCAGCTTGCTGCCTCCCTGTGCAGGTTCAACCGCGCAGCCCTCATTAACGTGGGCTTTCTGGAGAGCAGCAACAGCACGGACTATATCGCCATGCACGACGTGGACCTGCTGCCCCTCAACGAGGAGCTAGACTATGGCTTCCCTGAGGCTGGGCCCTTCCACGTGGCCTCCCCGGAGCTCCACCCGCTCTACCACTACAAGACCTACGTGGGCGGCATCCTGCTGCTCTCCAAGCAGCACTACCAGCTGGTGAGGCCCGGCCCGTGCGGCCCAGGGCCAGGGGGTGCTTGCCTGTGTGGGGGCGCCGCTGGGGGTGTAGCAGTTCCGGCAGCCCAGCAGATGGAGGTGTCCTGCCCCGGGCCCGTCCTGGGAGCGCAGGAGCGGCCAGCGATATGGGCCAGGAATGGAACCCAGTGGGTCAGTTAGGGAGGATGCAGCTGCGGCAGCAGGAACCTCTGGACCGGCTGGCTTCAGAAGACTCGGGGTTCCTTGGCTGGGAAAGTGGACCCTGCTGGGTGGGACCCGGGGAGGGTCTGGCTTCCAGGGCAGCTGGCCCGGCCTCTCAGACAGGGTCCCCGGGACACCATTTCCCCTGCCATCTCTCAGCTCGGCTTTGTCCGCAGAGTGGATTGATTTTCAGACACTGGAGGTGCGAGGTGGTTGTCGTAGCTGTGCCCCCTGCCCTGGTCCACCTAGGCCCAGGGTCAGGAGAAGCTGGAGTGCCTTCCCCAACAGCTCAGACAGGAGTTTCAGAACTGCACCGTGCTGCCTCCTGATTGGCCTGACTTAAGACAGGGGCCCGGCCCGAGTCAGGGGCTGTGGCTGGAGGTGGAGGTGGGCAGGGGGCAAGGGTGGTGAGGGGTAGGGTGGGAAGGACCAAGTGGCTCAGACCCCCGTCTTTTCAGGGTGTGGCTGAAGCCAGCTCTGTGTAGATGAAGCCCCAGGCCAGGTGGCGGCAGAGGTGCTGCCAGAGCCCAGCTGTCCCTCTCCCCGGGGAAGAGACCAGGGCAAAGCCTCCCCAGGAGAAACGGGGGCATGGGGCAGGCAGAAGTCAAGCAGAGCTGGCACTTCTGCCTATCACCAGCTCCCCAGAGAGGTGCCCTCCCTCCCGACCGTCAGACCTTTCTGAGAAACCAGGCATCTCACACAAGTTCAAGGCCCATTAGAACAGGCAAAGGGACTGGGCTGCAGTGCCCGCCCCCCCCATACCTCAGCGGCTGTGGGAACTGGGTGTCCATTCGAATCTCCAGGGGACGAGGAGGAGCAGGGGGCCTTGGCCGACTCCCACGTGATAGGATACCGGGGAATGCCCCTGGGAGGATGGGGCAAGTGACGTTGCCTGTTTCTGTGTCAGTGCAATGGGATGTCCAACCGCTTCTGGGGCTGGGGCCGTGAAGATGACGAGTTCTACCGGCGCATCAAAGGGGCCGGGCTGCAGGTAACACCCCCCCCCCCCCCCAAAGGCTTCCACCCCCCCCAGTCATTGTGGCTGCCCTGGTTCCCTTCTCTGCCCTCAGATGAGGTTCCTGGGGCTTGGAGATGGCCACCCTGCCCCGCCCCCGATGAGCACCGCCCCCTTCTGCCGAACTGCAGTGCATGCCCCTGCCTGTGGCCCTTGGCAGGCACTGGGACCCTGGGAGAGTAGTGGTAAGGGCCAGAGCTCTGAGAGGCAGCCTGACCCAACTTCTTTGGCCTTCTTAGCTTTTCCGCCCCTCGGGAATCACAACTGGGTACAAGACTTTTCGCCACCTGCATGACCCAGCCTGGCGGAAGAGGGACCAGAAGCGCATCGCTGCTCAAAAACAGGTGCTGACTGGTCCCCTGATTGGGGACGCACAGGTGGTGATGTAGAGGGTGGGCAACGGGGCCAGGCCTTACCACCACGCTCTCCGGCCCAGATGACCCTGTCCTCCACTGTGTGGCCCAGCACAGCCCCTGAGCACTCTACTCCAGCAGTCTGCCCCGCCCTGGTGGCTGCCATGGGCACCTGGGCACCGTGGGCCGGCCCAGACCTCAGGGTCCCTGCGGTAGCTGCCGAATCCCAAGCAGACCTGTGACAGGTGCCACCACCCCGCACACACCCATATGGGTCTGTCGGCTCTCCTGCTTACTAGTGGGGCGCTGCTGGGGACCGCTGGCCACCACAAAGCCCTGAGTACACGCCCGCTCCCCCTTCCCTTCCCAGGAGCAGTTCAAGGTGGACCGCGAGGGCGGCCTGAGCACCGTGAAGTACCACGTGGACTCCCGCACTGCCCTGTCAGTGGGCGGGGCCCCCTGCACTGTCCTCAACATCCTGTTGGACTGTGACAAGACTGCCACCCCCTGGTGCACGTTTGGCTGAGCTGACAGGACAATAAGGAAGCCTGTACCTGCAGGCCACACAGCTCCTCAGGTTCAGGACAAAGCCTCAGGCCCGGGCCCCAACTCCAGTAGGACGTGGAGGGTCCCAAAGCAGCGGATAGCAGGCCACCTGGCTACCCCGGGGCAGGCTGGAGCCGGGACGGGACACACCCTTGGGCGCCCGAGACGCTGCTAGCAATAAACAGTGACACAGAGAGGCTGGATGCAGCTCCCACCTGGGACCGTCCACCCGCTTCATGCTTGCCCTGCTCCACCTGCCCTCGGGCACTTAGACCATGAGGACTTTTGGTTCCTTCCCCCTGGACCGCCTTGTGCAGAAGCCAGGCCATGGACGTGGGTGGCTGGGCCCATCCAGAGGGTTAGAACTGCAGACACCGCTGTGCAGGTCCCACGGAAGGACACTGCGGACGCCGGCTCTGGCTGCATGTCACCGTGCAGGAACGCAGGCCCCATGTTGCTGGATCTTCTGATTTTTTCAAAAGAAACTAGAATTCTGGATTCTTAAGTGAAATCAGTTACTTTTTAAACGCTAGCAACTCATTGAAACTTCAGAAAAGGATGCTGGGCCAAACAAAACGTGTCGTAGAGCACCAGTTTGTTGCCTGTGACCGAGCAGAGGGGGATGGGGCAAAAGATGGCACCTTTCTTAGTGACAAGCTGGCAAGGGTTTGGAACAGGGCTGGGGACCCCAAGTCCAGGGGAAGCTCAGGTGGGAGAGAAGCCAAAAGAAGGGCAAGGTTCCTGCCACCTCCCACAGCCCTCCAGGCTTCACTGCCCTTCTGGGCAGTCCGGTCCCCCTGGGCTCTGATGGGCTCCAACTCGGGGGTCGGGGGGCTTTATCCCACTGCACTGGGATGGACAGACCGAGATCTACAGGCCCAGACTCGGGGTAGGCAGAAGGTGCCAGCAAGGACCTGGTCATAGAGCTTGGGGGTGGGAAGACCACGTTTCTGAGGTGGGAGGAAGAAGACAAGAAGCAGGAGAATCCTGGAGCGTTCCCACAGCATGAGGCATATAACTGCTGATCACATGGTGTCCAGGAGAGGCGAAGGAGGGGGGCCAAGGGAGACCATGGAATTGGGGAGTGACCTTGGAGGAATTCTCTGCATGGAAGCCTGGGGCCAATGAGAGCGGGAGGTGAGGGGTCTTCAAGGCATCTGACTGCCAAAGATTTGGGCCAGCAGTCAGAGGAGTCCTGGACCAGTGATGCTTGGTTTGTTTAACAAGACACCTGAAATGCTAGAAGAAGAGATTGAAGTCCCAGCGTTCGGGAGGGTAGATTCAACAGCTGTGCTCCAAAAAGACTACCGCACTGAGGATGATCTCAGGGCGGCCCCATGCAGTTGCTGGAGTTGTGCACCGCATCACCTGAGCATGGTGTAATTGAATACAATGGAACTATTCAGATGTCTAACAGAGGGTCCCTGTTATCCTAAATTGACCTCTTCCAGCAATTCAGCTTCACTCAGCATAGTGAGGGACAAGCACAGGGAGATGACAGCGTAGGGGCAGGGCAGGAGTGGAGGTCTTGCTCAACTTGAGGCCCGGGAGAGGGGAGTGAAGCGCTTCCCATGGGCCGGTCTCTGTACATCCCTGGCTGCATCATCTTGGGCTTCCAGAACATGGAGGCAGAACACCAGCCTCTTTGGAGTTGGTGAGAACGGGTGTGGCATCAGAGCCCTCACCTTGGTCCTCACCCAGCATGTAGCAAGACCCACAAGGTTAGGGAGCTCTCTCCTTGCCACCTTCATGGAGGGAGTAGAACGAAGCAGGACCAGCTGCCTTGGCCCTGGGAGGATCCCTCCCCTTCCCCTATGCCCACTGCCGCCGCCTCCTTCCAGGATCCGACAGGCCCCCAGGCAGGGCTGATGCAGCCAGAATGTGCAGCCTGCTTCCCTCCCCGGCCACTCCAGCAGAGGAGGAGAGGGCGGAGCGGCGGCACTGGGAGGAAGCAGACAGCTCTGCCACTTCCTCAGCACCTTGGTCGCCTGCTCTGCAGAAGGGAGCTGACCTCCTTGTCTTGCCGGCCAGGGCAGGAAGTGGACCCAGGACGCAGCAGCAGCTGGTGCAGCATTTGATTAACAGAGTGGCCAGAATAGCAACTAGTCCTCATTGGGTATTACCCACATACAGAATTCTTGCCATCGCTTTCTCTCATGAAGCTTCTCTCTACCTAAGCTAGGTCCTATTTATTCACCTGTTCCATAGAGGAGGAGGATGAAACAGAGAGAGGTAAGTAGCTTGCCAAGGTCAGAGAGCCAATACACGGTGGGGCTCAGGGTTTGGATCCCAAGACTCTGATTGAGAGCTAGATTCCCTCATCCCTGGCCCGTACAGCAGGTGCCAAGAGACAGATGTTCCTTCCCTTCCAGACCTTCCCTCTCCTCTCCCCAGCCGGAGCGGGCTGATGGAAGGGCTGGTCAGTGCCATCTGGTGCCCCCCCCCACTTCTGGGACAAAAGCAGAGCCAAGGGGAGATCCAGAGTGTCTGCCCCTTACCTCCTCTGCCTGGAGGAAGGTGGGGATTTTTCCCTGCTGGAGAGGTCCCCTGGGACATCGGCAGGCTCCACAGCTTGGCCCTGTGCCTGAGGAATGTACCAGAGGCTTGGGAAAGGCCTCCCCACAAAGGCAGGGTCTTGCTGGTGGAGCCACATTGCAGTCATGATGGGAAGGGTTCCAGAGGGATCAGCAAGGGCAAGGCAGAGACGCTGGGGACAGCATGATGGTGTAGGACCTGGAAGCAGTTCGGGATGTCCCTGGTACCCTGATGCAGTGTAGGAGTCGGGGCAGGTGGACAGCAGAGGGAAGGCTAAGATGACACCTGAGGACCTGGGAAGGCCACACTGAGCAACATCTACATTATTCCATGGGCACAGGGGTTTTGAGCAGCGGAGAGTTTCTGAGCAGAGACATAAGATTCTGTGTTCTAGAAAGATCCTTGGAGGGGTGGTTCCGGGGAGATGGAAGATGGAGTCTGGGGGAGGGAGAGCTTAGGCTGAACAAGACTAATAATGAAGCCATACTGAGGCCAAACTAAAAAGGACATTAGGAGAACTTAAAGCCACCGGCACCTAAAGCTGCAGTAACCATTAAACTGGTCCAACTCCTAACCAGACTAACATCAAACTTCACATTAAAGGTCTCTATCAGTCCCTTGACCCAATAAATCATGCATTTACAAGCCATGCTAAAAGGCAAGGAAAAAAACAGACTGAAGAGAGGAGCAAGAATCAGACCTAAACTCAGTTATGACATAGATCTTGGAATTACAGAGAGGAAATTTAAAATAACTATGACTCGTATGTTAAGGGTTTGGGATATTATGATTTGTCAGAAATATACATTTGGTCTATCAGAGGACCAAAAGCAATTTCTTCTCACATATTTGGTCTTCATCCATGGTTCCTGGCTCCCGGCTCATAGCATTTCCTCAGCAATAAGAGCAATGGGAGCATGTTTGGTTATAGTATTTGGTCTCTGGTCCTCAGTCCTGAAAACCACTTCAGAGCCATCAAGGTGAAATGGGTCTCTTGTTGTTCCCTATAAGACCCTTTTCATTATAACTGAGCTTATGAGGTGTTTTTTTTTTTAAAGATTTATGTATTTATCTAAGAAAGAGAGAGGAAATGCATAAGCAGGGGAAGGGGCAGAAAGAGATGAAGAGGGAGACCATCTTAAGCAGACTCCATGCTGAGCCCAGGGCCTGACACGGGGCTGGATCCCATGACCCTGAGATCATGACCTGAGCCAAAACCAAGAGTTAGACGCTCAACTGACTGAGCCACACAGGCACCCCTCATTTTTAGCTTGAATAATTTGTGTGTGTATCCATTAAGATTTTTTATATATGTAATTATGTAACATAAATAGAAATAGTTTTCCTTTCTTTTCAATAAGGATGCCTTTAATTTCTTTTTATTGCCTAATTGCCATGGCTAGAAACTCCACTACAGTGTTGAATAGAAGTGACAAAGGCAGAAATCCTTGTTTTGTTCTTGATCGTAGGGGAAAAGCTTTGTTTCTCAATATTAAGTATGATGTCAGCTCTGTGTTTTTTGTAGCTATTCTTTTTTTAAATTAACATATAATGTATTATTTGCCCCAGGGGTACAGGTCTGGAAATCATCAGTCTTACACAATTCACAGCACTATCCATAGCACATACCCTCCCCAGTGTCCATCATCCAGCCACCCTATCCCTCCCCCCCCCCCCCCAGCAATGCTCAATTTGTTTCCTGAGATTAAGAGTCCGTTATGGTTTGTCTCCCTCCCCGGTCCCTCTTTGTTTTATTTTTTTCTCCTCTCTTCCCCCCCACGATCCCCACCCTGCCTCTCAAATTCCTCATATCAGGAAGATCATATGATAATTGTCTTTCTCTGATCAACTTATTTCACTTAGCATAATACCCTCTAGTTCTATCCACATCATTGCAAATGGCAAGACTTTGGGGGTTTTGATGGCTGCATAGTATTCCATTGTATATAGGTACCATATCTTCTTTATCCATTCATCTGTTGATGGACATCTAGGTTCTTTCCATAGTTTGGCTATTGTGGACATTGCTGCTATAAACATTCAGGTGCATGTGGCCCTTCAGATCACTACATTTCTATGTTTAGGGTAAATACCCAGTCGTACGATTGCTTGGTCATAGGATAGCTCTATTTTCAACTTTTTGAGGAACCTCCATACTGTTTTCCAGAGTGGCTGCACCAGCTTGCATTCCCACCAACAGTGTAGGAGGGTTCCCCTGTCTCTGCATCCTCTCCAACATCTGTCATTTCCTGACTTGTTCTTTTAGCCATTCTGACTGGTGTGAGGTGGTATCTCATTGTGGTTTTGATTTGTATTTCCCTGATGCCAAGTAATGTAGAGCACTTTTTCATGTGTCTGTTGGCCATTTGGATGTCTTCTTTGCAGAAATATCTGTTCATGTCTTCTGCCCATTTCTTGATTAGATTTTTTGTTCTTTGGGTGTTGAGTTTGAGTTCTTTATAGATTTTGGATACTAGCCCTTTATCTGATATGCCATTTGTGAATATCTTCTCCCATTCTGTTGGTTGTCTTTTGGTTTTGTTGACTATTTCCTTTGATGTGCAAAAGCTTTTGATTTTTTTTTTAGATTTATTTATTTGACAGAAAGATCACAAGTAGGCAGAGAGGCAAGCAGAGAGAGGGGGGGAAGCAGGCCCCCCCGCCGAGCAGAGAGCCTGACACGGGGCTCGATCCCAGGACCTCAGGATCACGACCCCAGCTGAAGGCAGAGGCTTTAGCCCACTGAGCCACCCAGGTGCCCCAAAAGCTTTTGATCTTGATGGAGTCCCAATAGTTCCTTTTTGCCCTTGTTTCCCTTGCCTTTGGTGATGTTTCTAGGAAGAAATTGCTGCGGCTGAGGTCGAAGAGGTTGCTGCCTGTGTTCTCCTCAAGGATTGTGATGGATTCCTGTCTCACACTGAGGTCTTTCATCCATTTTGAGTCTATTTTTGTGTGTGGTGTAAGGAAATGGTCCAGTTTCATTCTTCTGCATGTAGCTGTCCGATTTTCCCAACACCACTCATTGAAGAGACTGTCTTTTTTCCGTTGGACATTCTTTTCTGTTTTGTCAAAGATTAGTTGACCATAGAGTTGAGGGCCCATTTCTGGGCTCACTATTCTGTTCCACTGATGTGTCTGTTTTTGTGCAAGGACCATACTGTCTTAATGATTACAGCTTTGTAATAGAGCTTGAAGTCTGGAATTGTGATGCTGCCAACTTTGGTTTTCTTTTTCAACATTCCTCTGGCTATTTGGGGTCTTTTCTGGTTCCATATAAGTTTTAAGATTATTTGTTCCATTTCTTTGAGAAACAAGGATGGTATTTTGATAGGGATTGCATTAAATGTGTAGATTGCTATAGGTAGCATAGACATTTTTATGATATTTGTTCTTCCAATCCATGAGCATGAGACATTTTTCCATTTCTTTGTGTCTTCCTCAATTTCTTTCATGAGTACTTTATAGTCTTCTAAGTACAGATTCTTTGCCTCTTTTGTTAGGTTTACTCCTAGGTATCTTATGGTTTTGGGTGCAACTGGGTCGACTCCTTTAATTTCTCTTTCTTCTGTGTTGCTGTTGGTGTATAGAAATGTATTTGAGTTCTTTCCTACTTTTCTCTTGTGGTTGTGTTCTAGTTTCAGAGCATTGTGGTCTGAAAATATGCAGGGAATGATCCCAATCTTCTGGTACCAGTTGAGACCCGATTTGTGACCCAGGATGTGATCTATTCTGGAGAATGTTCCATGTGCACTAGAGAGGAATGCGTGTTCTGTTGCTTTGGGATGGAATGTTCTAAATATATCTGTGATGTCCATCTGGTCCAGTGTGTCATTTAAAGCCTTTATTTCCTTGTTGATCTTTTGCTTAGATGATCTGTCCATTTCAGTGAGGGGGGTGTTAAAGTTGAAGTTAAAGTTGATGTGTTTCTTTGATTTTTTTATTAATTGATTTATATAATTGGCTGCTCCAATATTAGGGGCATAGATATTTAAAATTGTTAGATC